CTAGGTATGGCATCCCCAATTTTTCGGCTACCGTAACCCAAGCTATGCACGAAAAATGTACAATCCTCAAAACCAAGGGCCAACCCGAAAAATCAGCAACGAAAGAAGAAGCCGTTTTGACAGCCAGCCGGCGATTTTGGTGAGGGGGCGAAGAAGAATCGGAGGGCCACGGATTCCCACGGGACGCCATCCCCCCTCGGCTTCAGCCCACCAGCTACCACTTCAGTATCCCGAAGGGGGGCCTCCTTGAAGATGGGCCCTTTCAGAAGGGGCCAGGGCCCCAAGCCAGGGCACCGAAAAAGCCAAAGGTCTCGGGGGGCGCGCCCGTTTTCAGGGCCCAACCCACGCGCGATGACGTTTTAGGCAAATCCCCGCTCAGGGGCGATTGGCTAATTGGGTGCGGAATTTTGAAGTTAGAGAATTTTGAAGTAGGGACAGCTTTTAACATGATTGGCTGTGGTAGAAGTACTACTGTAAGCTTAGTAAGCTGAAGCCCAAGCCAAACTTCTCAACGAACTTAACAAGTAACCTAAGCCTAAGTAAGCCTAAGTCAAGCTTCCCACCGAGCTTAGCAAGTAGCCTAAGCCTCAGCCAAGCTTCTCAACCAGCTTGGCAAGCTTGCTTCAGGATAGGCTAAAACCTAAATCTACTGGTAGGCCCCTTAAACTAAGCTCCTTCCAAAACCGCTGTGAGCTAGCCTAAGGCTCAAAGCATAAACTGTAACTTTGGAGCAAGAGCTTACCGTAGATTAAGCCTAAAGCTAGGGAAAAGCAAAGCTCCTGAAGGAACTCTGCTAGCTTGCCACAAGCTGAGCAAAAATCGAAGCTTAAGCCAAAGCCCAAGCCTAATCCGTAGATTCGCTTGAACGGCTTGCCTGAGAAATAGTCCAAGCCAACGCTCAATCCCAAGCGAAAGCGAGAAAACGATCCTAAAGATTAACTGCCAGCCTGGCTAAGCAGAACCATAAAATCAGCCGGAAGTAGAGTTCGGGAACCAAACCCGACCCTCCAAAAGCCGAACACCTTATCAACCCAGTTGGGGCTGAGTATGGAGTCGAAACGAGTAATGGAGGTCGAGCCGAGAATTCGGTCAACTTTCCTCCTCCGCTACTCGTCAGCTAACCCCCCGGAAAACCCGATGCCCCAAACTATGTGGGCCAGAAAAGGGGAGCTTCTTTTCGCGGGTAGCCCAATCAGTGTGGAACGGGTTTTAAAGGGGTTGAGAAGTATGGAAAGGGAGAGAGAGAGAAAGAGAGAGAGAGAGAGAGAGAGAGAGAGAGCGAGAGAGAGCGAGAAAGAGAGAGAGCAAGAAAGAGATAGCAAGAGAGAGAGAGCGAGAAAGAGAGAGAGACAGAGAGAGACAGAGAGCGAGAGATAGTAAGAGAGATAACAACAAAAACGATGCCATAAGAAGGTGAAAAGTGATCGGCTGACCGACGGGGAGACCCCGCAGCGCCGTTGTAATAGAACGGCTCCATGTCGTGTTTCGGAAAAAACACAACACGGCTGTTTTGAAATTTCGGGACCCAAGAACCTCTTGCGGTCTAGAGTTTTTAAGGGTTATTATTTTTTCGACAAGGTAGAAATTACTGTAGCTAATCAGCTTTTCTTCTAACTACCGTAGCCTACGCTCCAGTAAATCGTGTGTGTAAACAGGTTGCCAAACGTAACAAGTGCTGCGCAGAGGAGACTTACGGAATTGGAAAGAGGAGACTTGGAATAGTCTTAAAACTAACAATCCTACTATATATAAAAAAATAGTGTCTGTGTGTGTGTGTGTGTATATTTGCATGCAACTTCCGTAAGTATGTACCGCACCTACAGCCTCAAGGGAAGGTTTTTAAGGTACGTATGATACCTCATTAGGTGCGTAAGGATCCCGAGATGAGTGCACACATATAAGATTTAGGAAAATCGGCTGTTTTCGCTATTAAAAATAAGTTTTTGTAAAGATTTCCAAAAACCTCTTTGTTAGTAGGCAATTTGCATGCGCCGGAAGTAGGGAGGGCCTATATAAAGGGGCAGAGGAGATGTTTTTCACTTTTTTTCTTGCTAGAATTTAGGGAGAAGCATGCAAATTGAGGACTTTCGCAGGTCCTGGACGGGGCCAGGGTTGAAAAGCCGCGAAGCGGTTTTTCAACCCTGGTTTTGAGCTAACTTGCTCGAGCTTGGACGACCGTAGTCCGTCGTCCAAGCTCGAGCAAATTGGGGGTGTAAACAGGTTGGGAAACGTAGTCATGTCGGTACAGAGGAATCGCGCGGAATCGGAGGGATAATTTAACGAGCTCGACAACTACGGAGTATATCGTGTAGCTCAAAAAATCTAAATCTATCCTAGCTACCGTAAACCATTTTCAGAAAATCGTGGTGTAAACAAGTTGCCAAACGTAGTAAGGGCCGTGCAGAGTATCCACGCGGAAGAGTCGGATTTGCGTAATTTGGCCAATATTGGGAGGCTTTTAGGCGCCAGGGGGGTGGATCCCAGAAACCGCTAGACGGGGGAGGAGAAGCCGACTGGGACATAGCCCCAGGACTGCGGGGAGAACCCGACTAATTCAATCCATCCACCGGATGGATCCAATTCGGGGAGATATACACACGACAGAAGGAGGAGGAGCAGCAGCAACAAGAAGTGCTGTTGGTCGAGGAAGTTCGCAGAACTTTTAAAGGGATGGTTACATGTGCGGGCGGTCCAAATTCAGGCGGGATGGTGAAGCCTCAAAAATCGTGAAAATTGACATCGGTTGCATAGAAGAGACAGTCAACTGAAGCGACGCGTTGTAAAAAATCACGATTTTCAGCTAATCTGTTCCTTTGAAAGCCTCGTCCAGAGGGTGTAAATAGGTGTCCCACCTAGCTCTGGCCTCGACTACACAGTACTGCTATCGACATCTATACCCTGTCGTTCCCAGCTGATTTAACCAACCAAAATGCCTGTCGCGATCCCTTTAAAATTTCCACTAACGCCAGAAAACGCACTAACGCGTAATTGGGTGCGAAACGGTGATGGGTGATGGGAGGTTAGGGCGGGGGCTTAAAATGAAGCCGTTTGGGGGACACGCGCGTCGTTTCGACTAGATTGGGTCGTGGTGGTTGAGGAGGACGAAGAGGACGAAGAGGAGGAGGGCCCTAAATTGCGATTTTGCGCCCATTTCATCGGGTAGAAGAAAAGAGGGACGGGGGGGGCGAATGTGGATGGGATGAGCACGGAATGGATGGGGCGGTTTGGAAGGGGAGGAGGAGGAGGAAGGTCCTCAAAGGAATGGACCGACCATCCACCCGAAACCCTCATTCGACCAAGGCAATGGACATATTTTACTGGATTTCGGATGGGTGGGGTGGGTAGACCTAAATTTAGCTACGAGGGGATACGCCAAAAGTACCGTACACTTGCGTAAAGGTTGGGCCTCTCCCCTCACCTAGCTCATTTTTACCTATCTTTCCGCACTTTTTTGCGAGAGAGCAATGGGAGCAAAGGTGGAGAGAGAGAACGAGGGAGAGAGAGTGAGAGAGAAAGAAAGTGAGAGAGCGCGAGAGAGTGAGAGAGATAGAGACAGAGAGCGCGCGAGATAGAGAGAGAGTGAGAGAGAGGTACAGAAACAGAATGATGGAAAAGATCTATTTCGGAGATAAGGAAAAGTTACAGCACTCCCCGACAATCGTGTTTTAAAGGGACGGGAAAGGCATCCAACCAACTGAATTCATACGTCTTAACTTGTCGGACTTTTTAAAGTAGAATCTACAGGGTAAATAACGCGAGTAATCAGTGGTATCAGTTATTTAATTTAGTGCTAAACTCAAGCGACACCAAAATGATTCGCATGGGGTCCATCTCGCACCTCCTTAGGGCCCACTCACTCGACCATCATCACCCCCCCCCCCATCCATGATTGGGTGCGGAGAAATGGCCCAAGGGCCCCAAGGCCAGTGACTACCCTGATTGTCTCCCCGAAACGGCGAGAGAGAGAGAGAGAGAGAGAGAGAGAGAGCGAGAGGGAGGCCGGGATGCTTAAAAGAGTGCCTCAAAGGGGTCATTGATGAAGTCTTCCCATTCGATTCGCACTATACTTCCGTCGTGGTCAGTCCGGGGGGTGGGCCTTTACGGAATCTAGTATCATTCCGGAATAAGGGGGAAGGGGGTTGGCCCGGGTGCGCCTGATCAAATAGTACGTGGAAAAGCGCGTCAAAAAGTAGCATGAAGGAAATTGGAATGTAACGGAAGAGCTAAAAATATATGGAACGGAATAAGATCTCTATCTCTCTCGCTCCTTCAGTCTCTCTCTCCCTCTCTCACTCTCTCTGGCTCTCTCCACCTCTCTCTCTTACTCTCTCTCTCTCCTCCTTCTCGCTCTCTCGCGCGCTCTCTCTCTCTCTCTCTCTCTCTCTCTCTCTCTCTCTCTTTCTCTCTCTTAAGAAAATGGTCAGAAAAAGATCCAAAGAATTCGAGTAACACAAACCCGGTTCTCCCAGCAGCGCGCCGTGATTCTATTAAAAACGTGCTGGGGCCGGGGAGGCCAGTAATGGACAGAATACGCCGAGTCAAACAGACAGAGAGACACACAAACACAGGGCCCTAAAACGGCAGGTGAAGCCCACGCGCAATAAATTGCTCCCAGAAGCGTTGATGGGCGGTAAAATGGGGTGGAGGAACACGAAATTAGTTCTCGGCGGGAGGAGAGAGAGAGAGAGAGAGAGAGAGAGAGAGAGAGAGAGAAAGAGAGTGAGAGACTCCGATGGAGAGAGACACGGCAGAAATACACAAAATTCGAGGGTGAATACAAAACCAATTCGTGCAAGTGCAGGTGCAAAAATATTCTCCATTTTTAGAGCGACTACGCATAGCTGCTACTTACACCTTGAAAATTGTACAATTTGAACCTGGATTTTGCCATAAACTTGATTCTCCTAGCTCTGTTTGTCTGTGTTCAACCAGTCCATCCAGTGTTTCCGGCTTAGAAATATCCGGAATCCGGTCGAAGCAAATCTCCCCAAGCCAAGTTAAACGCTTCCACCCGAAGTCAACTTACTAGGCTGATGAGCCGGGGCCATACATTCCAGCCTCGCCCCACCGTCGGCCAGGGGGAACACATCGAAGCGTCGTTGGGCAAATGCCTCCACAAAAGCGGCGCGCACAAGAACGGAGGGGCTACGCACGGAGCCTATAGACGGCTTGGTACCGTGCGGAGAATTAATGACTTACCCAACTTGTTGGTGGCTGTACAGTGGAACTTGGTATAAGCGAGGGAGGTGGTGGCTGGGACGAGGAGGGTACCGCCAGAGAGGAGAAATGAGGAATTGTTGTCGGTGGCGGAGAGCTGGAATTGAGGGTTAGAGAGAGAGAGAGAGAGAGAGAGAGAGAGAGAGAGAAAGAGGGAGTGGGAGAACGAGAGACAGTGGGAGAGAGAAAAACCCTACCAATTCCACGTCATTTTTGTACCACGTGATTCGAGGCGTCGGAATACCGTCCGCCTGGCAAGGTAGGGCCACAAAATCGGTGGGTTGCCTCGGAAAAAAGAAGACGGATGATGGGGTGCTGCTGCTCAGTCGGCTGGCTCCTGAAATTTATTTCTCATTCTCTCATTCTCTCCCTCATTCTCTCTCTCTCTCTTTCTAACCTCTGGGTATTAACTGTTGTTGAAAAAGTAGCCGTCGTCGCGCAATATGCGACAAACTGCATACGAATGGATACACCGCAGAGGCAGGCACAGCCGTACTGAAACGGACTCAATTTAGTACGAGAAGCACCTTGATTACGCTGCTAATATTCAGAATTTTGGGCTTAAATACCACACGCACATCCGATACTCCTGATTCGTGTCCCTCCGCAGCGCCGCGGTACGCCACGCATCAGAGTCGCGCTCCCCGCGTTCGTCGCTAGGGCCGCCAAGCAGCCAGGTGGTCTCCGCTAGTCCCGCATCGTACAGACCCTGGAGTACTGTAATTGGAGCGCAAAATAGCCCACCTGGAGTAGATCAACAAGATCGGATATTAGAGCCGCATCCGTGGGGGAGACGAGCCGACCACCGGCCATCGCACATTCTCTAGCAGCTCCCTCTTTGTCCTGAAATTTTTGAGGGTAGGTTTTCTCTCTCGCATACTCTCTCTCTCTCTCTCTCTCTCTCTCTCTCTCTCTCGCTGATTTCTTACCTTTGCTATCAAAAATGGTCGAACGCATGCGCTACCCGACGACTGCCAGCCATGTGGGCAAGCCGTTTCATCTGAAATTGTGGTATTGAGAGTGAGCACGAGCTAGTTCTTTCGAAAGCGTTGATTTTTCGGAGCACGAGCTGGCTACCGCGAAAGAGCATATGTTTCTCAGGACGCGCTGGCTATCCCGAAAGCTATAATTTTTCTGAGCCAGCCAGCTATGTCGAAAACGCATATTTTTTTTGAGCACAAGAAAGATTTTTCTGTGTGTTTTCGAGCAAAAACTTTTCAGATGACCTGAAAACATTTCTAATTTCCCTCAATTCGGCCCCTTTGGCTCCCCCGATTGACGTGCGTAATTTGGGGCATTATGTACAATGGCTCGGGCCCAACCTTGTGGTGTGAATTTGCGCCTTCTGGCGTTCCATAGCCAGTCCCGAGGGGAAATAGACCGAGTAACCCCCCGAAGACGATGTAATGGGCACCCTGCTACGGTAACCGTATTACGGGAGGGCACATCCCTATTTCGAGGAGAGAGAGAGAGGGAGGAAGGGACATAGTCAATTACATCCCCGCACCCTCGATCAAGTGGCGCCATTAGCAAGTCATCCAAATAGGGGAGCGGAGTTGGGTACGGTAGCTCTCTCGCTCTCTCTCACGCTCTATCCTCTCTTTCTCTCTCTCTCTCTCTCTCTCACTGTTCCAGCCCCTTTAAAAATCCTGACTTACCAATAAATTCCAGCGCTCGCCGAAACGGCACCAGCAAAATGAGAAGCAGATAAAATGAGGTCATCTCAGCATCGCTACTAGGTGGCTGGGGCTCCTGAAATCCGATGGTTTGTGACAAACGAGAGAGAGAGAGAGAGAGAGAGAGAGAGAGAGAGAGCGAAAGAGAGAGAGATGCCGACGAGATCCGGGAGCTTGAATAAATATGTCAAAACGTTGGCAGCAAGGGAAAGACAGAGAAAAAATAATTGTTTATCCTGAAAAGCAGCGTGGAAGAGAAAAGAGAGACGGGGATAGAGAGAGGGCAAGAGAGAGTGAGAGAGTGCGAAAGAGCGAGGGAGAGAAAGAGATGCCCAGAAGCAGCAAGAGAGAACGAGAGCAATAGCAAAGCAGAGAGAGGTATATGGAGAAAGACAGGTCATACACCTGAAGAATTTCGGAAATTCAAGCTATCGTTTTAGCTAATATTTTCGATTTGTCTGTGGGTGCAATATGGTGTGCATAGTATTGGTGTGTAGGGGGCAAGGGGGGCAGGGGCTAAAGGGAATGGTCGTGTCGGGATTAGAGATGCGATCGGGGGTTGGTTGTGGTGGTGCTAGGAAAGGGTATGGGGGACAAATGGCCCTCCTGGATTAGTTCCTACATAAATCAACGCGACCGCCCATCCCCCCATAGGCTTTTCCCTACCCCTAAAAGGACAACATTCGCGGAGTTTTTGGCAGAACTCTGCCAGCTAGGGGGTTACGAAAACGGATGGGCACCTGGGAATGAGTCAGAGGAGTGGAAGGAACGCTGGTTGGGTTTTAATGGTTCTTAGTTATCGTGATTTTCAGTGTCGAGATTTCGATTGTCGGCATTTTGAATGTCGGGATTTTGGCCTTTCGAGATTTTGAATGTCGGTATTATGGATATGGGAATTTTGGCCTGTCTGGCTGTCGGTATTTTGGCTGTCGTTATTGTGGCTGTTGGTATTTGCATTTCGGGATTTTGGTTGTCGGAATTTTTAATGTAGCTATTTGAACGTATCGGGATTTCTATTGTCGGCATTGTGATTGTCGGCATTTTGGCTGTCGGCATTTTGGCTGTCGGAATTTTGATCCCGTTAACACTGAATTTTGTCGTTTCCGGATTTTGAGGCGACATTCCGAAGTCGGCATTTTTGCGTGTCGGGATTTTGCCAGGCGGCTATTTTGCTCTGTCAGAGGGCAGGAAAGACGTTTTAAAGAAAAGTGCAAACGCGGCTATGGATCTTAGCGAGTGCAAAATCAAAAATGTACGATATACATCCGATTACGCCAATCACAGGGTTACTGTAAGTTAGTCAATAGACAATAGTAGTACTTAGGCAAAAATTCAAAGTTTTTCGCCAATCCCCCTCCTGTCCTAACCCCTTTAAACCCTGAAAGCCAGGAGCAGGCGATCCGGGGTCATTCTAAAGACTGCCATTGGGGGGGAGGGTAAGTGGATAATTCTGGTGAGACGATGAACAGAAGTGGATCATCTGGGGGAGGGGGCGAGCAGAAAACATTGAAAAGCCTGGAAGAGGTTAGTTGGGGGGACAAGTGCCTGGATTAGGGCAAATGGTCAATGGCGAGAGAGAGAGAGAGTGAGTGGGAAGAGAGAGAGAGAGAGAGAGAGGAGATATCTCGTAAGCGCCAGATGACCCCCCGTGGCCATTTGATTCCCTACCAGCCGATCTTTCCAAGCCCCCACAAAATCGAAAGTTTTTGTAAACGCGTAGTGCTCCTGAATCACGCTTCTGGGAAACTCGTAGAATAGCGTAGATCTATAATATACTTATTTGTTCAGCATAACAAAATATCGAAGGTTTGCGCATTAATAGACCAAAATTCGAACAATTCCAGCTTCCGCGCACAATTCGCTGACTAGCCGGAAGTATCGAGGCTTGATTATGCTATGAGACTCGGCAATGTGACCCCCAGGATATGTGGAATTACATGGCTCCAATCTATTGTGGCCCCACCTGGGTGCTCCGAATTGCCTTATGGGGGTCGAAGTGCCACATTGGGGCACCACACCCACCTGCACATCCATAAAGTTTGGCGGAATAGTGGGTAATTAATAGGTGGATGATATTGTCGAGAGTGAGGAGAGAGAGAGAGACAGAGAGAGAGAGACGGCGAGAGAACGAGACAGTGTGTCCAAGCCATAACTCCGCATTAATAGATCACCCTTAATCTAAAGACGTACTGAAACGTATTTCTAACTCTCTCAATATCGTTCTCTCTCTCTCCCTCTCACTCGCGAAAAAAATTTTGGTCCTCTCCTTCCGACCCAAGGACCCAAAAAAACTGAATGAAAGATTTTCGAATTCGATTTCCAAAAACATCGCCACTCTCCCTGATTAATAACACGAATCGTTGAAAAGCCAGAATCGAGAAGCGGATATACGGCTGTCCAGGGGGTAGTAGTGCCCTTTGGCCCTCAAGTGGGGGTCACTACCCCTTTCGGGTTGGCCACTCCTCCCCCCCTCCCCCCCTGCAGGACAGATCAACAGCACAAATATCCAGGGCAAATAAGAGTATAAAGCAAAAAATATGTTAAATGGATGTGCCAGAAATCCGGAAACATCCGCAAAGAATCTTTGCTAGGTTGCCGCGTTTTTGAAAGTGCAAGAAAGCCGTGATTCCGCAAATAATCTCGGCTAGCCTGCCCTGGTTGGAAAGCTTAAGGAGCCGGAGGACGCAAAAAAACCGTGAAAATCCCGACAGCCAAACGTCGACTACCGGAAATCCCGACAACAGAAAATCCCGACACCGACAATCCCTACAGCCCAAAATCTCGACTGCCAAAATGCCGACAGCCAAAATACTGACAGACCAAATGTCGACAGCGAGAATTTATAACAGAGCTAATCCCGACAGGCATGCAAAATAGCTATTTCAAAGGAAAAACAGTGCAAAATAGCGTGAAGATTAAGTCGGAAGCTTGGCTGCCGGGCTTTGTTCTGTCGGCATTTTTGGCTGTCGGCATTTTGGCTGTCAGCATTTTGGCTGTCAGCATTTTGGCGGTCGGCCTTTTTACTGTCGGGATTATCTCTGGAATCCTTTACATACGTGCTGAAGCCGGATCCGCAAATGGATTCTGCTAGCGTGCCCTGATTTTTCGACCCAACCCCCCCCCCGCCACCCATCCGAAATGAATATGCAATTTTCACGATTCGACACGATGTGTGGATGGGGTGGATTTTGGAAAAGCGGATGGGAGGAGAAGGAGGAGGATGAGTAGGAGAAGCAGGGGGGAAAAGCCGGGCGGCCAGGTTTCGTTTGCGGGAATCCATTAACCGTCTCCGCATCTCATCGTCGCCCCCCAAAAGCTTCTGTTGATTTTTCGGACTACACATCGAGACGACGGGTTGCAATTTTGACTTTGGTCGAATCGTCTATCTAGCAGCTGGAAATGAAACTACGAAAAGACGGGATGATACTCTAGACACGAGCAGCAGCATGTAGGGGGATATTGAGTGGCTGCTGTGCAAATTTTATGGGGGAAATAACATGGATTTCGCTTGTGGAACGGTGCTTAGCAACTCATAAGGAAAACTGAAGGAAGGAAAGCAGAAAACACGCATTTTGATCCTGTTGGAGAATTTGCATAAAGCGCTTTTTGCGATTTCCCAAGCACTAAACAAATAATTCCCCAGTAAGAGATTTGAATCATTATTTCAAAATTACTATAAAATGGGACAAGGTAGAAAATATTTGAAATTTGATTTTTAAAATTTTGAAATTTTAAAAAGGAAGAAATCTTATTTTATTTTTGTATTTTACAAAATTTTAAACATTATTTATTTTCCAATTTCCCTAATATAGGTTTTTGCATAAATCTTTATTCCCAAAATTCAAAAATTCAGAATTGTCGGCATTTTTGAGCGCGATCCGGAAAATCCAAATTCCGACAAAGAATACTTTGAATAATTACCAATTTAACCGTAGCCACCCAATCGCCAAAGGGTCCAAAAAACAATCCTACTATATACAGGGTGTCCCAAAAAAAATCCCCTCCCCCCTAGCCGGCCGCAGACGGGTCCGATTTTTACGATTTAGGTATCTATCGAAAGCTCTCGGAAAGGCGATGTCGGGACGCCTGGTCGATTTTCATAATTTGGAAATTTTTCCATCAGTTACTAATGTTTTT